GCAGTGATCGCAGCGTGCAGCGAGGCCAGGGGGGTGACGGCCGTATCGCATGTTGAGGGCATCTCGAAACTCCGCAGCATCAAGACCAGTGTTGTTGTCTGTCGACGGGAGGATGGTCAGCCAGCCGGACGTCTTGTATTTGGCGGTGTGGGAGAGGACGCGATGGCGCCGGCGGTCGATGTGCGGCAGGGCGGCCTCCCTCATGGTTTTGTGGGCGACGTCCTGCTGCTGCTTGCTCTTGGTGAGGGCGTGGCGGATGGTGGCACGATGGTCGCCAGGGTGGAAGGGAGCCTTGCCTTGGACGGACTTGGAGACCACCTTGGTGCTCGCGCGGGAAGCGGGGTAGGCGGCTGCGGCACGGTCGAGAGGGTCACGTATGTCGGTGCCGCCAAAGCGGGCAGGCAGCAGCATCAGCTCTATTTCGGACGGCATCACAGGGCCGCCGAGGAGGGCCGGCAGCAGCTGCTTGGCGATGGCCTCGCAGAGGGGGCTGAGAGCGCACTCGTCGGCGAGCAAGACATGAAAGACGTAGTCCCACTCCATCTGCAGAGACCTCGTCATTGCCGCGTGGGCCGTGTGCGAGAAGTTGCGGGTAGCAGACGCAAGCGCGCGCACGCCATGTACCCACCTCTCGACCTTCTCGCCGAGGAACGCCGCCCTCCCCCCCTCATCGCCCACGTAGCCGCCCAGGAACCTCTTGCCCGTGACGATCTGCACCCCCTCGAGCTCTTCGCCTCGAGCTCGAAGAGCTCCCTTGCGATCTGCTCGAGCTCGGGTTTGACGATGAGGAAGGACTTGGCGGCCTCCGGGTGATAGCCGTATGAGGGACCGATTCGACGCAGGGCTCGAAACCACACGAGTATGCCGTGAAGTTTGCCGAGCGCCGATAAGTCATCTGCATACCAGCACTGCCGCAGCGAAGCGCTAGATGAAGAGGCCGACGAGGCCGACGAGGCCGACGAACTCTCTCTCTTCTCCTCACCAACTCCAACACCTTCTACATCAGAACGCACACATACACCCGCACCATCCCCCTCTGCTTCTGGTGGCGTGTCACTAGCTTCTTCTGGCTTCTCTTGCGCTTCTGATGGCGCATTTTCGTTCTCGTCCGTGTCTGACCCAGACCCATTGCTGCCTAACTCATCTCATACCCCACTCGACGGCATCTCATATCCCTCCTCAGCGCAGGCAGCCCGCAGGGCATGGATGAGGGGAAGGCTGCCGCAGGCGTAGACGAACATCGCCATCGAATCGCCCTGTGTGACGCCTTCACAGCTCCACAGACAGCCGGCTGAGCCTTGCAGGTGAAGTGCGGCGAACCCTCGGTAGGTGTTGAACACATAGCGAGAGCAGCGAGGCCACAGCACGCGGGTGTTCCAGATGGCAGCAGGCCGACTGGTGCGATGGAAGGTGTTGCTCGCGTCCACCAGCAGGAGCCCCTCGGTCTCGTCCTCTTGGAAGAGGTCATTCACCATGTGCACAGCCCCCTCGAGGCCCCCCTTCACACCGATGCACAGCTGATCAGTGCCGCAGGTCGTCTCCAGGTCAGAGCGGGTCACCATGGCCATGCACTTGCCAGCCAGCCGAGAGAGCACCTCCCCGACGCCGATGGGGCGGACGCCCGGGCATTTGTCGAGAGCGATGAGGTGGCACGCTTGCAGGGCCTTGATGGTGTCCTATGAGACGATGGTGTTGGCCAGGATAGAGACGAGCGAGGCCACAGCCGCGCGGAGGCGGCCGCTCTTGGCACCGTATCGAAGGAGGAAGGTCTGCCAGAAGTTCGCATCGCCACCGGTCGATCCGGCGCTGCCACTGAGGCACCATGCCGCTCGCTCCACGGTCGAGTCCGTGATGTCCACGTCAATGAGGGGAGGAAGGTCGTCACACGGAAGGAAGGCTTCCTCGTACGGCTGCTGCTGTGGTGGGTGCTTCTTGCGAAGGACATCGAGCACCGTGACCCCCGGGGGGCGCCTGTCGGCCTGAGCGGATGGGTGGAGTATCCCCTCGCCGCCCCTCTCGGTGACGAAGCGGACGGCCGCGCGGACCTTGCCCTCGAGCATGAGCTTGTTGAAGATGCGATAGACCGACGCGTCGTCCAGCTGAGGCTGAGTGGTGAGGAACTGCTGGTCCAATCGCTCCGCCTCGCACACGAGCTCCTCCACCTGCCCATTCTGCCACATCTCCAGCCGCCTCCAGAGCATCCGCTTGACATCGCGCTTCCTCTTGACATCCGGATCTCGCTGGATGAGTGTGCGGACGAAGACGCCAACCCGCTCGGACGGTGCCTCGAGCTTGGAGATCTTCTCCACCTCATCAGCGATGGCCTCGGCGATGGCGCGGCTAAGGTTGCCAAGCTTGCTGAGATCCTTCACGCACCGCAGTCGAAGCTGGCAGACCCGGTCGTGATATGCCTCCCACTCAGGGAAAGTCGATCCACTGGCGGAGTTGACGAGGGGCTCGCCGAAGGCCTCGCGCATCTTCTCATCGACAAAGGAAGCCGTGGAGGGCACGACGGGCTAGCAGAGGCGGAGACGGCATCCGATTCATCATCATCATCATGGCAAACGGCCGGGTCCGCGGGCTACGTGAAATTTGTGCACGTGCCGCGCTTGCAGTTGACACAGTTAGTGCAGAGGCGCTTGTGCTTCCGGCAGTCACACTTTCGGCTGCATGTGGACAGCGCAGACGTCCCTTTCGCGTTGCATGCGCAACAGGGGGGCCCGCCGCCGTATCGCGGGATGAGGGTCGCTGGGGGGGGTTGGGTGTAGTCCGATACACGCTCCCTCATCCGAAAAGGAGGAGAAACAGCCGAGAAATAACCGACTCAATCATTGGGGGCATGTTGAAATTCGAGTATATGGAGTGCGTGTATATGATGAATGTCTCTGTGCACACACCTGCGGGTGGATTTGGAGTGTGTGTATAGGTGAATGTCTGTGTGCGCACACCTGCCCATGCACGTGTGGACTTGGAGTGCGTGTATATGATGAATGTCTCTGTGCGCACACCTGCGGGTGGACTTGAAGTGTGTAAAGTGTGTGGATATTATGAATGTCTCTGTGCGCACCCCTGCGCATGTGGACTTGGAGTGCGTGCATATGATGAATGTCTCTGTGCGCACACCTGCGGGTGGACTTGGAGTGTGTGTATATCATGAATGTCTGCGTGCGCACCCCTGCGCATGCACGTGCGCAGGGTAGGGTAAGCGTAAAACAAGCTGATGTGGTTTCCATTCATTCATCGCACCAATGCTTTCAGTCACCACCACAGACCCATGGCAGACGGCCAAGCTCTTTGCCAAGCTCGACAACCGCACCCTGACCATCGAGGCCTTCAAGCACCTTCGTTTCGACCTTCCCCGCATCTGACCCCTCACATTCACGATCCTCAAGGAGAAGGTGCTCAGCGACATCATCCTCAAGGGGCTGGAGGAGCTCAAGACGCGGTTTTCGGCCAAGCCTGAGCAGACCGTCAACTTCTGGACGGGCAAGAAGGAGCCGCGGGTGTGTGGGTGGTTTGGGTGCGGCAAAGAGGTGCAGGAAGGCAAGGTGCGTTGGTGCAAGTACTGCGGGGAGGTGTTCTGCGGTCAGCACAGAGACCACAAGGTCAGAAGCAAGAGGACGCGATGCATACCTGTGTATATTGTGATGTGTGGATGTCTGTGTGTGCTCAAGCGTTTCAGTCGTACGTTCCTGCTGGTCCGTGTGACATCACGAAAGAGTTCCTTACCCGCATTCGCAACCTGCACGGGCAGACGGGCAACTTCACGTGTTTCGTGTGCGGATTCGACCACATCGAAGCCGTAAGAAGGACAGCACAGACATCTATCTCTCCCTGCACTGCATGTGTGTTGTGTTTCAGTTCCTGTACGTGCGTTGGTGCGAGAATATATTACGAGAAGGGCGTGTGCCATTTCTCCCCCTACGAAGAGAGCGTCCGCGAGCATGTACTGGATGGTCAGCACGATGCACACACACGGACGCACACGGACTCATCACTGCTTCTTGTGTATGTGATCAGATGTGTCGATGATGGATGCTGACACGGGCAGGATGCTGACGGACGGCACCACCAGCATCACCAACACGCCCGCCCTCACCAACACTCCCGTACCCGCCCTCACCAACACGCCGTACCCGCCCTCACCAACACGCTCGCACCCAGCAGCACCAACACGCCCGCACCCAGCAACACACCCGCATCCAACAACGCGCAGGTCGAGTGTCCGATCTGCACAGACAGCCACCCACAGGACGTCGTCGTGACCACATCGTGCTGCAAGCACCAGCTGTGCCGTAGCTGTGCGTGGAACACCCGCTTCAACAACCGCCGCAAAGGTTGCCCTTTCTGCCGCCGTCGCCTCACCATGGCGGACATCTTCCCACCCATGCCCCCGCCCAGCACCAACACCAACAACCATATCGACCTAAACAACCAGTAATAAACGAGGGCATGTGTGTGCGGTGGGTGTATCGAGCCGCGTAGACGTAGTTGGTGTGTCAGTTGACGCATGCATGTGCGTGTGCGTGTGTAGATGAGCGTGAGGACACATGCATGTGCGTGTGCGTGTGTAGATGACCGTGTGAATGCGTGTGTGTACAGTACATAGCACGAATGCGTCACTTTTTCCCGTCAGTTTTGAGGTATAGACGAGGAATGCGTACACCGGTGTATATGCATGGCGTCTGTTTATGTGTGTACATACATGGCGTCTGTTTATGTGTGTATATACACAGTTGACACGTATGTATGCGACGAAACAAACAAACTATGTACACGGGCATATACACAGATGGATTCAACAAACATCAAAAATGACACTTCAAAAACCACGTGAATGCAACCCTGTGTGACCCCTGTGTGATGTGTGCCTGCCCCTCTGTCCCTGTTTGATCAGTGTGTGTCCCCGTGCGAACGTTTCTCTCTCCTCTCCCTCTCTCTCCTCTCTCAAGCTACACGCAAACTGCTCAGCCCAATTGCATGGCAGCCGCTGCATTGTTGGCGCGTGCGTTGTTGGCGTTGTTGTTGACTCCTGTGTTGTTGACGTTGGTGTGGTACTGGGCCACCAGCTCTTGGTTGGTGCACTTCTCGCAGAGGCCCTTGTCGGCGTTGTTCTCGCATCTGGTCTTCAACACCTGACCCACACACCACACATCCACACCACACCACAGATACCCGCCCGCTCATCCATCCATGTGATCATCCTCCATCTCACTTGAATGAGTGCGAGTCTGATGCAGTTGAGGCAGATGAAGTTGTGCTCCGACAGCATACCCATGCGTTTGGCCACATTGAGGATGATCTGGACCACCTCGTTGAACCCATCGTACTCGACCGCACTGCTGTGCATCTTGCACACCCGCTTGTGGCAGGAATGAGAGACCTTGTTACGCGTGTGGACGCCGCTGGTGCATCCACCGATGTTCGTCTGTGACGTCGCAGCGATGCAGCACTTGTTATTGGCGGGCATGGGCACAGTGGCACGCTTCTTGTTGTTCTTCTTCCCGCCGCCGATGGCTCCCTCCGCGGATGTAAACGGCTTTCGCCTCTCGAGCAATTTCTCGAGCAGATCTCAGAGCGCCGCGTTTTGGCATCTACTGTAGCTGCTGACGAAACTTACCAAGAGCTCGCAAATCACGATGTGAGGAGAATTTCTCCTCACGTTGTCTGTGGTGGGCTCCGCAAGCGCCACCATCACGCCCACCTCATCGCGAGCTCCCTACCGACGTGCGGGTCGCCTCACCTCTCTCAGAAACGAACAATGCCGCCATTCGTCG